TCATAGCCATTGGACAGAAGCAATGTATCTCCGTAACGCATTACCGTGCGAGGAAATACGATCGATCGGTATGCATATCTGAGCAAGTAGTGATAGACTACTTTTGAAACGAAGCGTCTGTAGAAGCCTCGGTAGGGTTTTACGGATTTCGCATTTTCTTACAATTATAATTTTTTTTTTGTGTAAGAAAGTGGCAAACGAGCTGGCGGCTGCAAATGCGATGCCACCTTTAAATAAAGTGGGCCCCGGCTACCTCACTCACCAGACGAAACGCAGAAGTGTAACAATTCTACTTTACGCTGGTCTTCTGTGAGGTCGTGGTACTTACCCGGACGGACCAGGACATTACCCCATTCGTGCAACAGTGTTGCGTGGCCCTACCACCGTACATATTACGTATTTTACGTGTATTCCCGTGGGGGGTCAGATTATAATAAAAAGGAGTTTCTGAAAATTAAGGTGCACCTACCCATAAACCGTTAAATAATAAAAATAAATTTCACCGTAAATTTCAACATGGACGAGTATAATAAATGATGGTAGTTAAAAACTTTATTGCTATTGCTTCATAGACACAAGTAACATGTGACAACATTGCGTAATTTCAAAGGGACGGTTATCGGTTCTGCAAAAAAAGACCCCTAGAAAGAAAATCTACAGCCCGCTTATCTACCTCAAGGCATTAAACTAAGTATGTTGACGTTAAACTCACTAGGCGCGGTTCAACCTACGCACCAAGACATTTCAATCAGCGTTAAGCCTCAATAAAGCTGTCTAATTTATTAAAGAACCCAAGAGATCGAACACGTTAATGTCTTTGCGTAAATCTATTTTGGAATTTTTTATTTGAGAAAGTAAAAATTTAGTATAATCGCTGTTTATAAAAGAGCAAAACCACGCTTGAAAATCAAGATGCGCTTGAATACAGATCTAGAGAGAAGACAGTAGAGAGTTACTATTTACTTAATTTTATCTTTTAATAATGGTATTTACTTTATTATGTAAAAAAGAGAAAGAACTTTAGTCTAGCAAAACATTTTAATAATAAATTAAATGCGTTTTAAAATTAATACACGTGTCTTCTGTATGTGCTTAAATGTTTAAGTATAAATTAATAAAAAAAATATTTTATAAAGTTTTATACACAAGGAGGCGTTTAGCAACAATTTTACTATAGCGTTGCAAAAATTCTTCATGTCACATTCTGTCACGTACATGTCGTCTTTCACGTCAACTCTGTTGTTTTCTGTACTTAGTAATATTAAATTTAAAGGAATGTATAAAGTGAAAGGTAAACAAAAAAAGGATTCGTGGATAATCTTTTCGTTCCCGTAGGCTCCAACTTCTTAATGCTTTAATCCAAGTTAAAAAATTGTAAAAATACGTTAAAGTTAGTTTTCAATAGAAACTTGATTATTGCACTTGATTGATTGTTAAGTTTAGTACTTAGTACTCTCATTATTGTCATTACAAGATTATTTCACATTATTGATACTCAAGAAACATTACTTGTATCTGTATTGAAAATGTGAACTGTAAATGTAAGCTCGACGATGGCGTAGTGGCCGTGGCGAAGGACTTGCGAGCGTAATGTCACGGACTCTAATCTAATCGGTGAGCACAGATGCGTTTATTTTTGCGAGTTTCTTATTTGCATACATTGTCTTGTATTCGTGCCCGAATAAAGAGACAGGGATCACCACCTTACAGGTTAATGGTTGGTAAAATATCATTAGGAAAAGCTATCGTTATCTAAAACGATTGAGTACTTACAAGGTCTCAGCTTGTGAGTACCAATGACCTTTATGCAATAAAATGTCCGGATTGAATATTTAGCATTCACTGCGTGTCTGCTAGTTCTACAAGCTGGTCCGCCATCACGTCCGTGCATTCTTAACCATCATTTGTAGAAATGTCCAAAAAACCTAATTTAAGTTGAATTTTGTTTCGGGTTCTAAAAAAATGTATATAACGTTAAAAATATATATGACGTTCTTAGAAAAATACAAGACGGAAATTTATAAACACACATTACTCAAAGTAGATCTTAATATTATCTTTTAATTGATGTTCGCTCATTCAGCCCCTAAATTGTTTAAACCATCATTAAGTGCAGAACTCGTAAAAAGTTCGTAAAGAGACTTAAAGTTTCTACAAGGGTTATAGACGTTGGGTCTAGCCTAGTCCAAGCATAATCACGCATGTGGACATGAGTACTTTGACAAAAATTTGGCGCATTGTGACCTAAATTAATTGTCTGTCGAGATGACATACCGGACTGAGATTTTCAAATGAAAAAGAATGAACATAAAGCTATACTATTCGGTTAAAACCGTGAGACTGATTATTGAACTCTGTGTGCACTAGATTGATTGTTTGTAGTGCGCTAAGGCCTGTCTGCCTATTTATCGTAAAAATGACCAACTAGCTAAGTACGGTTTCAAGAACACTGAATCATCCTAACATACCAGACCTAGTTGACTAATGATGGCCAGAAGCTGTGGTTTCAGTATTTACCAGGTTAGTTAGTTAAAACGTTGACATATTTTAGTGGTTACTTAATTTTGGTAACCTTAGAAAAACTGTCTCCAAAATCTGAAAAGTTTTCTTGCCAAAAACTAACAGGTATCTTCGGTAATTGAAGGGTTTGTTGTTTATGCATGTTTAACAATATCAAATTTATATAAAACAAGTAAAGGTTGCTTTTAGAAGGAAAATCATTGAAATCGAAAAGAAATATTACGACTAATTCATTACCTTCTTCGTATTATTTTTAGTAATTAAACTAAACGTCCTTGAGTGAGATATTTTGCAATGCAGCAACTGCGTAGTAGTAAACTATATTTTTTTTTGTTTGTGAAATAGGACAGAGACGCGTCTGATGCCACAAGCGAATGAGCGCAAGGGCGTTTAAAATAACGGTTAATAATAACGTTATGCTGTTCGTTGTTTCTCCGACCATAAAACATCGTGCTTCTGATGCCAGCCATCGTATAGGTAGTTAGTTGATTTATGAGTAAAGTTTGGCTGGCTTTCATGAGCACTTAATGGTAATTTAAGCTTTATTTATAAGCGATAGATACTATTACGTAATAACGACACGCTTGCATAAAACTTATTTATATCATTAATATGTTTTTCTTTTACAATACGTGTTCGCGTTAAAAGAGGTTTCAAGCCGGTTTTGACTGGTACCGCATGACCCTGCAACAGCAGATGGCTCTACCTCAATAAAACTGTTATCTGAACATAAAAAAATCACTGAAAACTATCTAGTTTTCAGTTTTTTAATCGAATTCAATAAATGAGGCAGTTCCCAATTCAGTTATATTTTTTATGTTCGCCCCCTCAGAAATGCGTCAATTGTGAACCGATTGTAAAAATTCTTTTTACATTAGGTTCGTTTAGCTCCCATGAGTTAATAAATTAATATCATTGTTACTGGACCTTGGACGCCGGAGATGCATCAGGGAAATCCTCAAAATGAAATAAAAAATGTACAGTGACTGAGATATTTGAAGTCTGTTTTGTTATCATTACATAGTAGAAAACAAAGTCGTCCCTTTGTCTGTCCCTATGTATGCTTAGTTCTTTAAAACTACACAAGGGATCTTGGTGCGGTTTTATTTTCGCTTGATAGAATGATTCAAGAGGAAGGTTTATATGCATAATACATTGCATCCGTGCGAAGCCGGGGCGAGTCGCTAGTTTATTAATAAAAGTGTTATATCACTTAGGTCGTATTGAATATTTTTTGGGCAAAAGAACCACAAATCGATCACGGTACGCTATCGTCTTTTAAGCGCCCTTATAATCTCAATGACGACGGAAACCTAGTTTTGCGATTTTCAAAAATGGACGTCGTGTCATTTACCATAAAAGTTTAAAATTAAAAGAGACGTTATTATCGGATTGTTTTAGGCTTATTGATTACACGTAAGATGGACAGAAATTCAGATCGTTAGAAGCGTGTTCGGCACAAAACAGAGCCTTTACACTGTGTCTCGGGAAGTGGTAATGTTTTGTTGTTAGATAAAGTGAATGTATAAAGTTCTTGCTTGGTTGGATACGGCGGTACTTTAAGAAATTTTCCTTCGTAAGCTTTATCTACCCCGTAGATGAGCGATTTACGTGAATTTAAAAACGAATGAACAAACATATAGTGCTAGAATTTATAACAAAATAATTCTTTTTCACCTACGAGCACGGCGCAACAACAGATTTCCCTCCGGAGAAGTACCACAACCTCACAGAAGACCGGCGTAAAGTAGAAGGGTTACCCTTCTGCGTTTCGTCTGGTGAGTGAGGTAGTCGAGGCCCACTTTATTTATAGGTGGCAACGCATTTGCAACCCTAAGATTGTTGCAAATGTCACTTAACATCAGGCGAACCGCTAGTTCGCTTGCCATCTTGTTACATAAAAAAAAAATGCGTACACAAAATACTCAGGTGCTCACCGCCCCTAGTCAACGTTTAAATCAGACTGTACTACAGTATGCGGGGGTCACAATCAGTACCGAGCTTAGATGGCTCGTAAGTGACATTCCTCCCCATAAATAACGCACGCATGAGCGAATACGCGGTTCGACCCGATGTGTAACTAGCTCTAGTGGTATCTAACTATCCTGCAAGTTCCATGCTATGGAATATATATATAATGCGTGGAGTTAATACTCTTGATACTCACTTAGACTAAAAGAAGACAGTTATACCTGTACCATTGCATTGTTAAATGACTTTTTTAACAAAAGAGCAACTGTTGAGTTTCTTGCCGGTTTCTTCTCAACGGAAACTGCTTTCCGAACCGGTGGTAACTTTTTAAACGACGTACGTTTTCTTTTCCATGTAAAATTTCGACGCTTCATAAGAACGCGAAAACGTCTATATGAACAAAGATGTTTTGAATTTGAATTTGTTCTGCCTTCGATGAGGACCGAACGGAAGAACAATAGAACGGAGACACCGCAGCGGGCGAAATATCAGTCGTGATCGTGACTTACTTGACGGTCGAAATTTCGAGACGTCCGTGCCGCATTTCTCCCTGTTGTACAGCAGCTTCTTGCAAACGCGCCATGGCCCGTAGTATCCTTGGTCGAAGTGCGGGTTCTCCACTGCGAAACAAATATTGCGATGAACAGTGACGAATATTTCTCAGAGGTATAATAAGACGCTATTTGTTGGGTTTGCAAAGATAATATCCAAAGTTGTTGACTAAACGCAAACCTCAGATAAATCAACTTAAGGGAGAGAGGGAAGATCATGAAAACCAAGAAAATTTTTTGTAAGGTTCGAATCCGAAAGTGTTTTTCCATTTTTCTACAAAAATTCACTCTAGTTAAGCAATTGTTTTACTATAATACATATTTGCACCTTTGTCGTAAGACACCAAATAGCTAAATGTTGATGATTTGATAATTAATATTTAACTATTATCGGCCCGTTTCAATATTCTACCTACAGACTGATTTGGTTACTAGCGACAGGTATTTGACAGTAGTTCCATAATACTTACTTTAAAATTCCAGTAGAGTAAATAAAATATTGAAATCAGCCGTTAGCCAGTAGAAACTATAACTGCCATTATTAGTGATACTTCTTTAACTGATCTTCGTGTTGATGAGAAAACATGCGATTAATGTTTTTACCTTGCGAATCTTACGCAAAACAATAGTCAGTAACGAATTGTTTTATTTTTTACACGAAAGCTAAACAATTTTATTTAATTAAGGTCTCGAGTAGTTTATAGTTTGCATTTAAACGTCTTCAAATTTTATATTAAAATTAATTTAATGACACTATATAATACTAATATTCATATAAAACTACATGTACAGCCTATATTTGTCACACTGCTGGGCAAAGGCCTCCTCTCTACAGAGGGTATTATGGGCATAGCGGATTGGTGGAATGCACATATATTTAACGAGATACGTCAGTACGTCCGGAGCTAGCGGCTGCTATCAATATTCACATACTTCTGAATTAATTTCATTAGTAAATGCCTATAACAAGGTTATTGGAATAACAGCCTTTCATCGGATATTTTTTCCATACTGTTTAATATACTAATATCCTTTAACGTCTTCTTTATGTCATCGTTATTTAGCATTCAGAGGTCAACATGTCGCAAACAAACAGGTTTACGGAGAGATCATCGTAAACACCGAACCCATCTGAAGTCCACTGACCCGTAAACGAAATAATTCAGCCGCAGAGAATTATTGTTCCCGCGCAAATATTTCGGCTGTTACGCAAGCGAGACGCCGAGGTAAGGAGACAAAGAGGCATGAAAGACAAACAAGCAACTGTTCAAGTGAAACTGATTATAACAACCTTTAAACACTTAGGCCCCATTCAAAATCGTCAATTAGCACACTTCCATTAAATTAGTTAACTTGTTTATATAACTTTAGCCTTATGCTGAATTTCGCAAATAAAGGATTAATACTGTAAATGTATCTTATTGTGATGTTGAATAAATTATTACGATCAATTAAAAACCAATCGACTATGCAATTTAGGTCATTAACGAAGCTCTCCTTTCTAACGGGCGTAGAAGAGATATCTAATATTTCACCAATGAAATGTAAGCTTTATTATTAACACAAAACTAAGGGCTAAATAAATTAATAAAAAAAAGATTAAAACCGACAATAGCATGAAGCCGAATTTTTTATCATATAATATAATTTCACTCATAAAATGAAGACTTCAATACAAGTTTTGACAATGTATCAAATGTGAGTAAGACGTATACATTATATTTATAGCCTCATAAAAGGCTTTAAGGGACATAGGGGCAGTCAAGTCACGATTTCCTAAACGTGTACTAATTCAATTTGAAGTACACCGCCAATTGGGCGGTCGCTAACTGTGTAACAAGGTTTAACTCTCGCTTGACCTTTCCAACATTTGGTCACACTCAAAGTGCCAGATAGGCTCGTACACACCATCCAGGCCTTCCTGTCGGACCGCTCTTTTCGATATCGAGTTGAAAGCACCCTCTCCACAAGCCGCCGCCTCACGGCCGGCGTACCACAAGGCTCCTGCCTCTCACCTTTGCTCTTTACGCTCTACACGAGCGATATACCTAAAGACCCCCACGTCAACCCAACCTTAGACAACTAACCACTCGACTCCAAAGCGCTGCCGACCGCCTCGGCGATTGGTTCCGCAAATGGAGAATAGAAATAAATCCCGAAAAGAGTGTGGCGATTCACTTCACACAAGTACTATAGTACTTTACCCGTCACATCTTTACAATGCCCTCGTCAATGCAGAAAGTTGGGGCAAATATCCCTTTATGGCCAACCGCTCCCCTGGGAGAAAAAGGTCAAATACTTAGGAGTCACTTTCGACTCGCGTATGTCATTTACTACGCACATTAATAACGTTAGCAATAGAGCCGCGTTCGTCTCCGGTCGGCTACACAATTTAACTAACGTTAAAAGTAAAATGCCCTTAAGGCACAAATTATTATTATTATATAAGACCTGCGTACGACCTATTTATGTCTTACGCATGCATGACCTTCGCCCACACGCACCCTACTCGCTTGTACAAGTTGCAAATAGTACAAAATAAGTTCATCCGCCGCGCAACCGGTGCGCAGTGGTATAGACGCAAACGTCGACCTGCACAGCGATTGCAGACTCCCGACGATTCACGAATATTTTAAAGACCTGACCAAACGGTTCTTCGATAGAGCCGAACATCATCCCAACCCTCTGGTGGTAAGCGCAGCAAATTACCAACCCGACAAAACGCGAACGTCAAGCCCGAAACGTCCTAATCGACCCGGTCGAGGAAGGGGACTTAGACCCGCCGGACCCACTGCCGGGGGTCCCGCCGGACAACTACACCCACAGTTGAGTGCAACAACAAACACACTAGTTCGCCCTCGCCTCCGAGCACGGCGAGACCAACACAACGCGTACACAAGGTACACCCGCGTTCCGGGGCGGTTCTCACCGCCCCCAGCCACCGATTAGCTAATTACACAGTCGACGGCCATCGAGGTTTTCGGTCCGAACCACGACCTCGATGGCCCTTAGATGACACACCATTTAAACGCACGCATGAGCACATGCGTTACCCAAGCGGACAAACCCGTGGGTTCTGGCTATGAACTCTGCGTCAGATGAAGCTTTAATAGTCTCGGGACTGAAAGCAAAAACATCAGTTAATACAAGATACAAGAACATTTGGTGAAGTTAAACACTTCATTTTGCTTTATCTGGCGGATAGAGTAATGCCATTAAGACATTGTGACACGCGATATGTCGGCGCGGCTTTCTTGAGTATTTCGTATAGATAGTTTATTTTATAATTTACTTTAATCGATCACAAGCGTAAAGCGACTGAAAGAAGGGGTAGGATAAGGGTAAACTTTATTACGAGTTTTCTGTCCACATTGAGCATATTTTAGATACAATTGAACTACCGAACCGGAAAAGCTTTAGAAAAAAAGGTTAATTGAATGCAGAGAGGTAAATTCAGAACATTAAGTTCAAGTAAATTGCAATAGACGTTGCGATTAATATAAAAATATAGAAATTTAAACTAAATAAATTTAGGCTAAATACTAGTTACTTTTCGTTACAACACGCTTAAAAATATGTAGTACCTATTCTTTAATAAATATAAAATCACCAGCTCTTCCTTCCTCCCTGTGTGAATTGAAATGGCCTGTAACTTCTACGTTAGTGTGATGTTTGTTAACGGGTAAAGATTAATAGTTTAATAGTTGTTGCAATCAAAATAAAATTTTAGTTTTATATTAAAACCAACAAATAAAATAATTCTCTATTGAGTAAATACCGAATTTTCATATTCCGCCCCACTCCTGGTCTAGAGGCCCTAAATATTCGGCACATTTTGCCGAATATCTAGCAAACGATTAGTCAATTAAGCTATGGTTACTGAATATCAAAACTCGTTCTTCGGCTGAATACACTGCAGATCAATCAATATCAAAGTGTAGCAGAGTATGCCAAATCCATACTAATATTATAAATGCGAAATTAACTCTGTCTGTCTGTCTCGCTTTCACGCTAAAACTACTGAACCGATTTAAATGAAATTTGCTACACATATAGTCTAGAGTCTGAAAAAGGGACATAGGCTATTTTTTGAATAAGAAATTAAAAAAAAGATATTTATATTCGTTTAGGGCTTCAGACCCGAGCGAACTCGCGGGAGAAAAGCTAGTGTTATATGAACGAATATTAGTGGCTATCTGTAGGATAAAACTCTTCTCTCTTGCATGATGCGAATGGATTGGATTCGAAAATAGTAACAAGAGTCCACATATAGATGACCGTGGGAATACGCGACGATAGGCGGCACACATAGTCAGAGAAAACAACAATAATTCGCACAGCGCCCCAGTTTTATGACCACAAAAACGGATGTTAAATGGATTTTAAATTTTTACTGAGAAGTTTTGGCTGTGAAAATTATTATATAGTAGATATAAATAGCACAAATATATCGTTAAACTTACGCTAAATCCTGAATAATTGTTATAAACTCTATGAAAAATAAATTAGACAGCAAATGGCTTACATAAAACCAATGATTTATAAGATTCTAATTGTCGAAGGATTTCTGTAGTTTGCGCTAAGTATGTAAATCATAGTGATCGTATTTATTGTGAAAAAAATCCATAATGCTATGTAGTCCGTAGTACTATAACCTTTCATATGATAGAGCAGTGATTCTCAACCACTGTGCCGCGGCTCTTTTGTGTGCCGCCAAATTTCAAAAGTGTGCCACCAAATTTTGCAAATATATAATAATGTTAATATTATTAAATTATATCATTTAAAAAGAAAACTATTGTTTGGCATTAGCTAACATTAAAACTAAAAAAAGATCAAGATTGTTAAATGTAGAAGACGATATGAGAGTAGCATTGTCATTTTTACGACCAAATATAAATGAAATTATCAAAAAACATCAAGCTCAAATTTCGCATTAAAAATATTTTTATTATTAGCTTGTAATTAATCCCTTAATAAACGTTTAGTTATTATTGTAATATATATTAGTTTATTTCGTATATTTAAAATTTTTATCATAAACTATTTATGCAGTGTGTTGTAGTAAG